TCTTCAAGTAATAAAATCTTCTGCAACTCCGTGGAAGTAGGTAATTTGTCAAACCTAATCTTCTGCAACTCCGTGGACGTAGGTAATTTGTCAAACCCCGTAAATCTGTGTGTTCCGCTGTGTTGTTGTTTTCTTGTGTGAATTCTTCTCGTTCTATTTTTCGCTTCGTCGTCGATCGTTCTCCTATTTTATATATATATATATATATATGCCACAACAACTGGTATATCTCACTACAATTATATCATATAAAAAAGCTAACCAACAACCAAATAATGCAACTAACATTTTGGCAAGTGATATGTTTTACTAATTGTAGATATCTTCACCATTCAATATCTATTAAAGTGGATTCTATCATTACAAGTGCCTAAAATTAGGCTAATAATTACAAATCCTTAATCAGGTGAAAAAATAATCAGCCAACTGAAGGCATGTGATTCAAAAAATTAAAAAATAATAATAAATAAAAACTAGCAAAATTTGAATTAAATCTTCCTAATGTTTACTTCGAATTCAATTTTGCAATGGGGAACGGATGTAGAATATCGAGCAATTTTGAAAGAGCCAAATACGAGTCAAGCCTGAGCTTTTTACAACCCTAGTTGTTCGCGTTCGACTTGCTTACTTAACGAACGACCCGAACATGAGCTATTTGCAAACAAAGAGCTTTTTTGACAGCCCTAAGCATTATATGCATACAACAATAGTTAATTTAATAATTTGATGACAGTATTGACTACAAGTAGAGAGAATATGTTAAATAACCATAAATAAAATGCTAATGAACAGCAAATGCAAAGTTTAAGTCAAGTGAAGTTCATATTTTAGAGAAATTTGAACGTTCCGTTGACAACAGAGAAAAGAATTAAATGTTAAGATAATCTTTGCATGCAGTAAATAAGTCAGTAGTATTTCTTTTCCCCCAGTTTTCTACTTTTCTAGAGCTTCATATAAAACTTCATCAGTAGCAGATAATAGTTTAAGCTAGCATGCTTGTTTTGGCTGAGCTGCAATTATTATAAGAAAAAGAGGTGTAATGCAGCAAAAATTTGAAGCTAGAAAGACAAAAATTCCCATAATACCATAAAAAATATATATATATGTAGATCGAGAGCAAGCGAGAGACCTCAATTATACCCCTTTCTGGCCCTGTGGGTAAAACACCATAAGGGAATAGATAAAGATTTAACCCGACTGCTTCAAATACATCTCTAAGTAGATAAATCACTTGGAGTGCAAGAACATCTTGTCTACAATCATCACCAACCTGTTAAATATAAAATATAAACAGAAAAAGTAATTTTGAAGGTAACAATGACAAGAAAGAAAATACACAGATGCAAATTTTCTAGAATTTCAACATAGAGCAAGGCTTGGACTAGCACAGGTAACAATGACAAGAAAGAAAATACACAGATGCAAAGTTTCTAGAATTTCAACATAGAGCAAGGCTTAATAACTGTTGCCACCAGAAACATTGTTTCAAATACAACGGTACATGTCATGCCACCTAGCTTATTTTTTATTGGTTCATGCAGTAGAGGGAACGGACTAAGATAAAATCCACCTGATTAAGTTGATGCATTACAGTTAACAAGTTGGGAAAATAAAAGGTTTTCGTGGGCCAACAAAAGTAGTCAACCAAGGTTAAAAAAATTTCTCGAAATTTTAAGATCTCGTTTAAGTTTTTCCACATTTTTTCATGTTTCAATCATTTCTATTTTGTTGGCTTGACTTATCTTTTTTTTACTTTTACATAATATTACAAAAACAAAAAGTCTTTATCCTACTAAGTGGGGTTGGTTACATGAATCCTTTTTCCTTCATTGTGTCCTAATGAGTGTCATATTTTCATGTAATTTTAATAAATTCAGATCATTTTTTATATAACATGCCAAAGTCTTGTTAGTTCTACCTCTACCTTTCTTAGCATAAGTCAAATCTAAAACATCTACCCTCCTAGCCGGATCATGAGATGGTCGTCGTTCAATGAGAACAAGCCATCTAAGACGACTCCCTCTAATCTTATCTTCCATTGGAGCTACACCAACCCTTTCACAGATGCATTCATTTCACATTTTGTCTCTGAATGTCAAGTCACTCACCACCTGAGCATTCTCATCTCAGAAAAACTTAACTATGTTTTATGCTTCTCTTTTATAGGCTAACAATTTGTGTCATAAAGCATTGTAGGTCTCACCACCATCTTATAAAATTTTCCTTTAAGCCCAAATGGTACTTTTCTATCACACAATAGGCCCAATGCATTCCTCCACTTCAACCATCCCACTTGATCCAACTAATAACATCACCATCTATATCACCCTCACTTTGGACAATAGACCCAAGATATCTAAAACGTTCACCCCTTTTACATGAAATTAAGTTTCATTTAAAATGTGTTAGGATTAGAATTAATTTCATATAGGATTAGATTTAATTTTAAAAAATTAACCCTTTGTAATTTTATTTTTATAAATGGGAAGTTATGGCTTATACTTAGTCATTGGCTATGGATATCCAATCAACAAAAAAATTTATGAGATCATATGAGCATTCTAATCCAAGTTTTTCATGTGAATGACTACAAAATATGTATGTGGAGATCACATCTACCCACTTCGATCTCGTCCATGAAATTTTCTTCTCTTACAAATTACTTTTGCTCAATAGGACACAATGGAGAAAAACGATTCATGTAGCTGACCCCAGTTAATGGGATAAAGGCTTGTTGTTTTTGTAAATTACATACCAATTTGAAACTGCAAAAAGGCAATCAAAAGGAAGTAAACCCATAAATTGGATCCCTCTAATAGACTACAAAACACCAGTTCATCATCTATATCAAAAGACCCTTTCCTAAATTGCAAGCATTATGTGAAACCTCATGTGAATCGAGTCTATCTACTAACTGCAACCTCTCATGATTCATTCCCTTTCATCTCTTGCATCCAAATTTGTTGCACAGCCATGATATAACCAAAAACAACTTGCTCGCATTGCAGCCGTATTCTTCCTCCACACCACTATTTCTCACTTTCTAGTGCTCAAAAGGACCACAAATTAATTTGAGATCATTCAACCAAATTATCTTGCAAAAGTGAAGTTTTCATAGATCAACCAAAAGTAGTCAAACAAAGTTATATAAGAGCTAAGCAAAACTAGTTTCAAGACTTCTAAAGCACACATTAATTTTTTGTCAAATTTATTTTATTTTAATTTGATTAATTTTATTAAACTCTAGTATCTTCATTTGGATAATATTAACTTTCAGATTGATTTTAAACATGATTAAATATACATTAGATTTTTTTGGGAAGGCTAGCAATTTCTAGTATGGGCTACAGCGTCGATTGCCATTTTTAAATTTTTTAGCCATATTATTTTAATCATATTTCTACGAAAAAGGGATCTAAAAATTGTAATTGCATATTTTTTTATTAATGAATGAAATAAATTTTGAGGCCAATTGGTTATTCCACACTTGTGATCCAAGCAGTGTATGTATAGTTCTACTTTAATTTCTATACATTTCAGTATTAAAGCTAAAATCTAGTTATTTTGATCTCAAATTAGATTTCATAACTTATTCAGCCAACAACTGACCATCATATGGCCTCTTGATCTGAGCCTACATTCACCTGCAACAAATCAGTCTTTAGTCACAAGGTTCACAATCATTATTTGCTCAAGCATGCATGTGCTTCATCTACTCCCAAGTCATTGTATTGCCTCCTATGACATTGTATCTCTCGCTCATTCTCTCAATGAACTAGCAACACTCACAATGAATCATACACACAACATCCTCAAGTTAAATCGAATGTGAATAGTCCACCATTAGGTCTTACATTTCTTCCACGCTAAATTGTGTTCATATAATCCTACAAAGGCACACATTCCATCAAGCTCATCATCCATAATCCAAGCTCATTGCTCGTGCCACATCCAGATGCATCAACTTTCTCAATGATGCATGCATAGCATTGTTCATTAGGATTGAAAAAAGTTTATTTCTCCAGAACAGCTCATATTCAACTGGCATCTTAAGGTAGTATGCCTAGCTTGAATAACGAGTTTTTTTTAAATAGGCTTTACTTAATCGTGTTGGGTTTATTAACTGTTCATACCAAAATCACACACACACACACGTGGGTGGTTGATATGTTATTGCATAGGAATTGGGTGGTAGGAAATCACAATCAATCTTGCATTCTAGATTTTAAAAGGAATTTTTAACATTTTAAAATTTCTTATAGTTCCAGCCAAACATTAGCCGAATGAGCTTATTCAGTTAGAATAAATCAATCACAAGCATGATATTTACAAGCAAACATTAGCCTTTGAAGAAAAAAAAATTCAAGCAAATCAAAGACGAATATATCTGAAGAACAACATGCTTAAACATCTATTATCGATCACAGCACAAGCATCCCTTCAATATAAATAATGTGATGAACATGCCTCTTGCAAGTATTAAATTGAGAATAAGAATGAAAATAAAAATAAAAACATGATATTAAATAGCATAGTAAATGAAGAATAATTTCTATTATTCATGATCACTATTCCAAACAGTATTAATGATTATGTTTTCAGTACTTGTAAGTATTAAAGCATGTTTATTTATTTCTACTATTCATGCCAATCACCAACTGACATGCATGTTACTATTTTTTATATGTTGAATCATATTTTAGCCTTATTTATCTCACTGGTGTCTAGCTTTCCAAATACCACTGTATTGCTTTTCAAGTTGTAAGTAGCAAATAAACCATTAACTAAGTGACTTGCCTTTTGTATAGCTTTTAAATGTAAATTTTTGGATGATTGTAGAAAACTTCTAGGATATGTATGATTTTAAAATTAGGTATTTTTACAAGTTCTATATTTTATTTGAAGATTATTTATGCAAACTTCCCAAATTATGAGTAATATCAATGATTATTAGAAGATCTGAAATGTAAAGATTTGCATGTTATGATTTAATAAGACCAATTCTCTACTCGCATGATTATGATAAGTACACATCAGGATTAGTCTTAGTAAAAATGTGTTTGACTAAAACGTCCCCTCTATTACATTTCAAGATGGCTTGAGGGGTTGACTCAGGTGTGATATAGCTAAAAAAAGCTCTAATAGGTTTCTTCACCACCATCGTCTTAAGTTTACAAAGGCACTCTATTGTAGGTTTCTTCACCACCATCGTCTTAAGTTTACAAAAGCACTCTATTGAAGACAAAGAGCGTAACATATCATGAAGGTTAATTCTACCTATCATCTAAGGAAGTTTGTGCTTTGGATATCATTCTTGTTATTATAGGCACACCATAAAGTAAACAAATAATTATCTTCAGGGCAAGCATGTCTTTTATTTAGATAATCCTTCTTTCGACAATAAAACAATCCATCACCACTTTTAATATCTTTTCCCAAATAAACATGATTTTGATTATAATTCCTACCCTCCTTTTTAGGATTTTTTGATTATGCCATTAAAATGTTGCCTCTAATTATAGGGATCATTATCATTCTAGAACAAAGATAATTTTATTATAATTATGACAATAATGGTCTCCCTCTTCATCATTGAAGATATTAAAAGGTTTCCGCAACAACAAAGACATTTTCCACCAATCCAATGCAATCAGTACACGAGTTTCATAGATTCATTTCACCTCACAAGTTTAAAAGTCTTTTTAAGTTCAAGATAAAATTCAAAAAGTTTCTGTTATTCCTACTCGTGATGATGATCTTTATGATGATGTTTATGATGAAACTTCTATTACATTATGATGAATACTCTTAGGAGAAGCCTTATGATGGTAACTCTTACAAATGATGGATTGGAACCATAAGAAAATGATGGGCAATCAACATTATAATTTACTATTAAGTGTAAAGTTAAGATGTTCCTAAATTTTGAGAAAGTTGATTAGAATGAGATAAAATTTCTACAAACTGTGTTCAAATACCATATCCCAAAATTAATCTTTTACAACGGCTTCTTATAATGATTCCAACTCCAATTCACTTGCCACTATCAGGAAACCTAAACTATTTTAGATGATTATAATTTACTCCATTCACACCTACTAAACAATGCGATGCATACCACTACCTCCATCACCTAGTCCATTGTTGGTCCACATTGTAAGGATGAAGTGTTTCAAATTTGGATCTAATCAGCATTTAAGCCTCCAAATCTAAGTGTTCTTTAGACATTTTTCTCATAGTCCACACTACTGCGTGGTCGCCTTGATACCG